GAAGGCAATGGTGTTCTCTTCCCGGAAGGTCACCACCAGCTGGTTGCTGAGCCCGAACAGGATGAGCTGGAGAAAAGGCCTGGGAGGTTGGCTCTGCGAGGGCAGTGCCTTGCTCAGGGGCCAGGTGGAGGAAGAGGGTGGCACAGGGGTATCCCTGGGCAGTGCAGGGACCTGTGCACTCCAGTCTGATGAGCACAAAACCCACCCCCAGCAGAAGCTCTGTGCCCAGCTCCGAGGGGGACCAAATGCCTCAGGTCTCAGGAATGTGCGTCATAGGCTTCCCAGATGCAGCTTCTGTGCCAAACCCAAACCTCCAGGGTAAGAGCCACCAGGGGGCCCTGATGGAAGGGAAATGAGAGGGGCGGAGGCCTAGAGTCCCAGCCATGGGCCAGCAGCAAGAACCCAGCACAGAGACTGAGATTCACCCCAGGGGCCAGACCTGGGCCTGGCATGGCACAGGGAGAACATCTGGTTTAACCACCGGGTCGGTTCTCTTTGAGAATCTAAGAGATGCCAGACTTCACAGGTTCACATCCCACCTCTGTGTGGGATCCATTGCTAGGTGACTCTGGATGAATCCTTTAATGTCACAGTGGCCCCCACAGGGGGCAAAAGCACTGCCAAAACCTCAGGGCAGCCTCTGGGAGCCTAAAAGGAGCTCGTGCACACGTACTCTCAGGTGGCTCCTCACTGCCGCAAGGGATCAGGACAAGGCCCCCACACCTGAGCTGCTCCTTCCAGAGAGTTTGGCTGGACCACCTGCTGGGCGGGTCTCACCTGCACTGTGACCACCAGGATCTTGACCACCTGCAGCATTAGCTTGCATGGCTTGCGGCCCTTGGCCCGGAACTTGTCACAGGGACTCATGAAAAAGTATTTGAGCCGACGCCGGAGGTCTTCCTCTTCCGGGGGTGTTGGAGGGGCCCCAGGGGCCCCCAAGTTATGGGTCCCATACCCAAGGCTGGGGGTCAGGAGCCGCTCTGTCTCTGTGGGAATGGAAGAGGCAGTGAGGGACCAGGCTGATCAGTTCCCATCACCTGCTTCCCCAACACGTCCCTGCCTGACCTCAGCCCCGTGCTCTGGGCAAGGACGTGCTTCAAGAGATCTGAGAAAGAAAGAAAATCAGCAACATCTCAGCTCTACGCAGTGCTTCTCAGAAGTCTAGAGTGGGGGTTGGAGTTGATTCCCAATCCTGCCACTCAGCAACTTGGACAAGATATTCAGCCTCTCTGAGCCTCAGTGTCCTACCTGCAAAGTGGAACTATAATCATCTCTCACAGGGGAGTGGAGGGCCTGATGCTTCGAAAGTGTTTATCACAGAGGCTGATATTTGGTGAATATCAGAACATTCCATCAATGTCACTGTTGCAGGTTTGTGGGGTGGGAAGGAACATTCAAGTCCCCCTGGAAAACCTCAATTCCAGTCTCCAGGCATGAGCACATCACAGAGCCCACATTCACTCTCTTCAGACAAATAATACCTGAAGGATGACCTCTGAGTTCATTACAACCTATGCCCAAAGAGTGGACAGGAAGCACACCTGGATAAGGGTGTGTCACATGAACAACAGTGAAACCACCAGGTGCTGTGTTACACAGCTGACATTCCCATTATCTGGGAAGCTGAGACAGGAGGCTAACCTGGACAATTTAGCTAGACCTTGTCCTAAAAATAAAACTGAGTCAGGTGTGGTGGCTCACACCTGCCATTCCAGCTCTAGGGAGACTGAGGCAGGAGGATCATTGTGACTTCAAGACCAGCCTCGGCTACAAAGTAAGCTCAAGTCCAGCCTGAACCGCATAGCAAGACCCTGTCTCAAATATCAAATTTTTTGTGTGTGTTTTTCATTTTTTATCGGTACCGGGGATCGAACTCACGACCTCCTGCTTGTAAGGCAGGTGCTTATGCCACTGAGCTAAATCCCCAGCCCAACCCTGTCTCAAATAAAATAAAATAAAATAAAATAAAACAAAACTGAAAGCTGGGGATGTGACTCAAATGATAAACTGCTTGCTTAGCATCCCCAACGCTGATCCAACCCCCTACCAAGTAAGAGTGAAACATGTGTGGACCAACTTCCTTTAGCCTCCTTAAGAGCACCAAGTCCTGCAAATCACACAACCCTAAGGCCAAGTTCCAGACCCAGGATACCTCCCTAAACCCCTCAAGTAAAAAAGTGGAAATGGAAAAAACATGTATCTCGCCAGGTGGTGGCACACGCTTATAATCCCAGCACTTAGGAGGCGGAGGCACATGGCTCAGAGTTCCATCAAGGCCAGCTTGGCCTGCCTAGCAAGTTCAAGGTCAACTGAAACTTCATAGTGAAATTCTGTGATAAACACTTTCTAACAAACAAAAACAAAAGTCTACCGCAAAAGTGCCGGTACTACAGCTGCTCAGAGAATTTGGCAAGACATTGTAGGAGCAACTGAACAAATTCTTCAGTAAGCAGAAGCTATGCCGATCACTGCTTACTTCCTTTGAGCCTAAGCGGAACACCCATTATTTCAGCAATTGCGGGGGTCACAGCCAGTCACTCCAGACCCAAACAACACAGGACACATCAGACTCCCTCCCCAGGAAAAATTTTGCTTTTCTTTCTAGGCCCTGGCTCCTGCCTGGCCAAACTGTCAGGATACTTTTTCTTGTGTGTGGTGCTGGGGAGTCAGACGCAGGGACTCGAACATGAGACAAGAGCTCTACCACTGAGCCACACGCCCAACCCAAAGCTGTCAAGATAAACAAGGGGACAGTCACTATTTGTGGTATAGGAAGGTCCAAGCTCTTGGCTCCTCCCCTTGGAGCTTCGCGGCTCTCGTTGTTTACAATCCAGCGGAAGGCATGCCAGAGGGCGGGGCCTGCCTCCCTCCCTAGCTGGGATCACAGCCAGAGCCTAGGATCTGAGCTCCATAAGAGCTCCATCCTGGGATCTTCTGTCAGGTCCCTAAGTGAGCTCTCTGAAGGGCCCGGAAGTTTGGGCAGCCAAAACGCAAGCGTAGTCAGGAAGGCAGAGATTGCATGGGCTCGGAAAGCTCAAACTGATCAGTTGCCTGGATTTAAAGTGTCATCCCCGCAGCTTTCCGCCTGACTTTAGGGAAGCTGAGTGCGAACCTGCCTCTGCACTCAGGAAGGAGAAGCCCGGCACCTCAAAGGGGCATCGCGGGAGCGGGTGCCCTGGCTGGTGTCTGAGCCCCAGCCGAGGAGAGAAATCCGAACTGAGGCTCTGGATGGGAAGCCGGGCCGGTGTACTGGCGTTCGGATCAGCGCCTGCGCCCGGCAAGCGAGGAAGGTGTCCCGCCGCCCGCGGAGCAGCGCCTGCCCTCCCGGTCGCCGACGCCCGCCCTCACCTGAGCCACGCCTGCCCACGGGGGCCGCCATGCCCGGGCGCAGAGCGCGGGAGGCGGCGGGCGCGGCGAGGGAGCCAGGGTCCGGACGGACGGGACGCCGCCGCTGTCACTGCGGCCTCACACCCTCGCCGCGCCGCTTCAAACCCACCCGCATCAGCTGACCCGCGGCGCGGTCACGTGAGCAGCGCGTCCGCGAGCCCACGTGACTCCTCTGACCCCACCCCCTGTGCCGAGACTCACCCCTCCCTCCCGGAGCAGCGCGCATGCGTAATCAGGAGCCCTGTGGGCGAGGCGGGGCGCTGGGAAGGGCAAAAGGGGTCGCGCGGTCCTAGCGCCGACCAGGGCCTCTAGGTCCACCCTGGCTGGCTGTTTTGGCCCGCGTCTGGTGCCTACCTCCGGACTCCGTAACGATCCCAAACCTATTCTCTTCCTTCCTCCCAGAAATTCCTTTTACCCATCTCATCAGCAAACCCCACTCGTAAATCACTTATCCCCACCCCAACATCCCTGGCCTGCACCCCCACAGCATACTCCCATGAGCGTAGCCTGCTTTTTGCTGCTACAGCGAACTTCACTCTCCACCCAGGGGCACGAAGTGCCTTCAAAAACCAATTCCTGACAATCTTCTGCTAGATCCTGCTAGTGAGTGACTTCTCTGCTATGGTTCTTCCTACAGCTTATCCCCAGGGCTACCCCAGGCCCTTTGCACATGCTTTTGCCGGCAGGGCTCTGCAGAGCAGGCAATTTAGAACTAGGCACCAGTGTCTGCCACTTATACATTTTCCAAAGTCCCTTAAACTCCCTGTGTTTCATTTTCCTCCTTTTCAAAATGGAGCCCCTCAGGCCAGTGATACACCTCAGCAACACAGCTCCTGCCTGGCAAGTGCAAGGTCCTGAATGTAATTCCTGGTATTAAAAAAAATGGGGACACTTGAGAGTATCACCAGCCTCACAAGACTATGGAGAGTTAAATGAAAGAATGAATGCAAGACCATCACACAAAGTGAGGCCAACAGTGCTGATTATCCAGTTAGTAGCATTGGAATGATCAAATCCCCCCTCAGGAAAGCTGTCCTTCCATCTAAACCGGAAGTCATGCGTTTTCTAGAATGTCCCTCCTATTTATTTTTTATAATATTCTTAAGTATGATGGGTGAGCTCTGTTAAAAGCAAGGCCATGTTTATCTGACTCCCTGCTAAGACTTAAGAATCAGAAGATGTTTGTCAAACGCGTAAATGGACAGCCTGTGTTTGTCCAGTGGTGTCAGCCTCCAAGTGATGCGAGCTTTCAAGATTAAGGTTAGGATCCCAGAGCTGATGGACTAGGGCTGCCTCATATCAGCCTCCATTATCAGACCACTAGCCCGTCAGCATGCTAGAAATTCCAGCAGGAATGGAAAAGCTAAATGGAGGGCATCCTGCCCAGCACACCTGCAGGGGGCGTCTCCCTCTGCCTCTGCAAGCCAGACCTGGGGGAAGGGCGGAAAGAGACCCTGTAGGGGGCGTGGCTAGGGACCGGGAGGGTGGGGCCCCAAATGTATGGCGGGTCCTGGCCACACCTTCCCACTTCTGGAAGACTGGAGAAGGCGGAGACATTCTATGGGGTAAGAGAACACGGAAGGCAAGGCAAGCCACAACCACAACGCAGAGGCTGGAGGCAGTGGGAGGGCTTTACTAAGTGCACAACACACAATTTTTCCTCCAGGCCGCCACAGACTCCCTGCGGGGTCCCCTTCAGCCATCAGGCCCCAGCAGCGCCCCTTGCTCCTTGACCCACTCAGGACTCTCACTGGCAGGGAGGGCAGGGCTGACAGTGTCTCCGGTGGGAGAGCAGGGGTCTGGCTGGGGGACGGGGATGGGGTCTGGAGAGGGCACAGGGTCAGGGCTCGGATCAGATTCATGGTCAGGGCTGGACACAAGGTCAAGGTCGGCATCGTGACCAGGCTCAGGGTCAGAAGATTCAATGGGATCAGGGCTGGGGGTGGATCCGGAGCCAGTGAGGGGTTTGGGGCTGAGATTGGAAAGGGAGCCAGGGTCGCGGCTGCAGCCGGAACTGGGGCCAGGGTTGAGGCCCAGGCCAGAGCCTAGCACAGACACAGCATCAGCACCCAGAAAGGAGACCTTCCCGGGCCTCCTCACCGGTGCAGAGCTCAGGCCAGCTCCGAGGCCCAAACCGGCAGCAGCGGCAGCTGCAGCAGCGGCTGCGGCTGCGCCCTCATGCACCCGCTTGTGCTTGGTGAGGCTGGAGGCTTGGCCAAAGGCCTTGCCACAGAGCTGGCAGCGGTAGGGGCGCTCTCCGGAATGCACGTGGAGGTGCTGCAGCAGCGCCGAGCTCTGCCCGAAGGCCTTGGAGCAGTGTGGACAGGCGTAGGGCCGCTCGCCCGTGTGGATGCGCAGGTGGTGCTGCAGGTTGGAGCTTTGCCCGAACGCCTTGCCGCAGTGGGGGCAGCGGTAGGGACGCTCCGCTGTGTGTGTGCGCTGGTGCTGCAGCAGCGCTGAGCTCTGCCCAAAGGCCTTGCCACACTGCGGGCACGGATAGGGCCGCTCCCCCGTGTGCGTGCGCAGGTGCTTGAGCAGCGCCGAGCCCTGGCCGAAGCCTTTGGCGCACACGGGGCACTTGTGGGGCCGAGGGCCGCCGTGCGTGCGCAGGTGCTGAGCCAGCAGCGAGCCGTGGCCGAAGGCCTTGCCGCATACCGGGCAGTGGTGTGGCTTCTCCCCACTGTGGCTGCTGCGGTGCTTGAGCAGCGTGGAGCGCCAACCGAAGGCCTTACCGCAGGCCGCACACTGGTAGGGGCGCGCGCCCGTGTGGATGCCGCGGTGCTGCGCCAGCGTGGCGCCATGGCTGAAGGATTTGCCACAGTCGGGGCAGCGGTACGGCTTCTCGCCGCTGTGGGTGCGGCGGTGCTGGCTCAGCCCCGAGCTGCGGCGGAAGGCTCGGCCACAATCGGGGCAGGAGAAGGGCCGGGGAGGACTGGCTGGGGCCGGGAGCACCACGGGGCTGGTGGCCAGGACCTCAGGGGTGGCAGTGACACTGGAGGAAAGGGGGTCCACATCTGCCGCGGCAGGACTGAGGGCTTCGCTGTCGGGGTCGAGGACCAGGGGTACAGGGCCAATGACATCTGGATCAAGATCAAAACTGGACGACATGGGGTCCAGGTCTTGGGGGTTGGAGTCTTGGTTCCCCAAGATGGAGCCTGGCATTTCCGTGTCAGGGTCCAGATCCTCAGAGATGGGCTCCAGGTCTTCATAGCTGGGGTCCACATCTTCGGAGACAGTGTTGAGGTCTTCCGGATCCGGCTCTGGGTCTTCAGAAATAGGGTCCACATCTTCGGGCTTGGGGTCCGAAGTCTTGAAGTCTTCGGAGTCGGAGTCAGAGTCAGGCTCTCCATATACCGGCCTCGTGCTCTTGTGGCCTGGGTTCCGGACCAGGACCGAGCGCCGCATCCTGGATGTAGAACTGCAGGTCGTTTCTGGGACAGGGTCTGCAGGGTGAAGATGGAGGGTCAGGGGACAGGGAGCTTCCCTAGAGGTTAGGCAGGGATCGGAGAAGGGACTGGCTCTTTCTTTTGTCTTTCACCGAGACCTCTCTCTTTCTCTCTTTTTTTGGTACCAGGGATCAACAGGGCCTCATGCTTGCCAGGCAGACATTGTAGTGCTGAGCTATGTCCCAGGCCCAGATTTCACTGTGTTTCCCCATTTACAGCCAGGAAGCTCAATTTGAGGGGACACTAGCAGGATGGGGGACACTCCCTTTCAGCCAGAACCTGGATGGAAGTCACAGGACCCTGAACTAGAGGTCTCCAGTGCCCCTCTGTCCATCCTGGGTTCCTAAGCTGGGCAGTCTAAGTCCTGTGGAAGAGAGAGGCCTAGGTTCCCTTGTGGGCAGGAGGCAGCAGTCAGGTCTCCTGCACTGGCGCTTCAGAGGTGGGGCTGGCAGATCTGAGGGTTCAGGGAGGGGAGGGAGACCTGTGGCTGGCTCCCCCCAGGGGATGCACTGAGCCTGGGGGAAAATAGGAGGCTAACGCTGCCTGGTCCCTTCTTAGGTCACTGGGGAGAGGGCAGGAGATCCTGGCTGTCCTCCTGTGGGAGGACAACCTGAACTCCAGACCTCACTGCTCAGGGGACAGATTCTCTCTGGCCTCTGGCATAGACCAGATGGAGGGTGGGCAGCCCTCCTGCTGGGAAAGGGCGGCAGGGAGATCCATGGACCCCACAGCCAGGATGTCAGGGACAGATGGTACGTTCTAATCTCCACCTGGGGACCCCCTTGGGGGGTTCTTGGGGGAACCTGGAGACATCTCCAGAGAGGGGAGACTCCTGAGGCCTTGAGCCCCTGGCTGAGGTGTGGGACTGAGTCAACACCCTCTTCTGTCCAAGGTGTACTGTCTCACAGCTGGGGTCCGGGAGGATGTGCCTGGGAGCTCCTGGGGGGAAGGGGAGCTCAGAACTACCTTTTGGAGAGGTGCCTAGCTGGGGCGGGGGCAGGAAACCTCTGGCTTTCCTTCTGGGGAGAGAGATATACTGAGCCCCAATGCCACAGAGAAAGAGAAGCAACAGGGGAGGGCAGCTGAGTTCCTGGGTGGCCCCCTGGACCCAGACCCCACAGCTGGGGCTGGGGAGCCGATACTTGGGTCTCCTCTTGGGGGCTGGCAAAGAATCCCTTAGATTACCCGGCAGAGGCTGAGGGGAGCTAGTGGTCTCCTCCTCTTCCACTTCTTAGCTGGAGGGAGGGAGAAGAATGCACCGGGACCTTCCAGAGCTCCTAAGAGGAGCCTCGCAGAAGTCAGGACCTCCAGACTCTGGAGGGAGGGGAACAATGGCTGAGGCCTTTCCTGGGTTGTTGGGGGTCAGGCGACCCCGATCCCCCATCTTGAGGAGAGGGCCTCCTGATCCCCCAGACCCCAAATTGGAGGTAGAGAGAACAATACCCAGGAGCCTTTTAGATTTCTAGGAGTGGATGGGCGCTGGGGAGGGGCGTACTGGGTTCGAAACCCCACGGCCGACGGGCGCCCAGCCCCTGGCGATCCCAGGCGCGCAGCTCCGAACCCCCGGCCGCAGAGGAAAGAGGGGCGCGCTAGGCCGGCAGGTTCGGCCCCCCATCACCGCGCGCGCCCTGATTCACCAGCCCGGGCAAGGGGCGCGCGGAGCGGGGGGGCGCAAGGAGGTCGCCCCGGGCCGCGCCCCGCGCCGGGGCCCCCCGGTCCGCCCCCCTCCCGACCCCTCCTCCCCGGCCCGCCCCGGCCCTGCCCTCCCGCTCGCGGGGTCACTCACCCGGCGCCCCTCGCCCTGCCCGGCCGCCGGCGCCCCCCGGGCCCGCAGGATGCCCCCCGCCCGCCAGCCCCGCCGGCGGCCCCCTCGGCCCCGCGGCCCCGCCAGGCGCTCCCGGGGAGAGCGGGGCCGGCCGAGGGCCGCAGCGGGAGCTGATGGGACTTGTAGTCCGCCCGCCCCGCCGCGGCCGGCGCCATCGCTGCCCCCGCCCCCCGGGCCAGCCTTTGTCCTGGCCCGGCGGCTGCCCCTTTGTGTGCGCGGGGTCCCCCCGCCGGCCGCGCGGCTCCCGGCTCGAGCCCTGCGTGACTCAGTCCCTGCCTCTCTCTAGCTCTGCTTCGTTCTCTGCCCTGCCACCGATGCTGCTTCTCCACATCTGTCCCTTTCTGTGTCCCAGTCTCTTTGTCTCTTCCTGTCCCTTTGCCTGCCTCGTCTTTCTCTTTGTTGCTACCTCTTTCTCTCTGTCTCGGCCTTCGGTCCATATCTTTGTTCCCAAAGCACCAAACAAGCCGGCCAGAGTGGTGCACGCCTATCATTCCCGCACTCCTCAGGTGAGGGAGGAGGATGACCGGTTCGAGACCAGCCTGGGCTAGATAGTTTGAGGCCAGCTGGAACTGCTTATCGAAAGCCTGGCTGACACATTGCACACAGATCAAGCCCTGCAGTTCAAAACATGCCTATCTTTGCTTAATCCAAGCTTTCTCAAAAAAAATTGGTGTTTTTTTTTTTTTTTTTTTTTTTTTTATGGTACATAAAATTTCAGAGCACCATTCTTTCTGCAAGGCAGACTCTGGAATGCTTTTCTTTGACGCTTTCCTCCTACCCATCTATCTGCCTCTGCTGCGCCCCAGTGAATCCAGGGGCCTGGCCCCAGTGCTCATTTCCCGGTACTGAGGTAGGACTGGGAAGACTTCTGGACAGACTTTACCCCAAGTCCCAGATCCCTGCCAGGGAGAAGGTAAAGAATAACTCCCTGCAGCCAGGTCCTAATGTCCTCTGCAAAATCTAAACAATGGCCCCAGAATATAAACAATGATCAGGCAAGGCCACTTGACCACATCTGAATTAAGATCACGCCAAGGATAGACTACAGCCACAAAAATGCATGTGCACCCCCTCTCCTGCCAGTGTCAGCTCTGATTTCCAATCTTGCTGCCCATAACTGCCTCCCCTACATATCCAGAGCAATCTGCAAAATGAGGTCATTCTACACCAGGATGGTCAGCAAATCAGAGAGATGGCCCTGGCTATCCTGGTTGAGCTCCTGGATACAACCATACCTGAAGCCAGAGGCCCTCATTGTTTCCACTTCTAGGAGCCAGCGAATTTCTGGTTTGAACTCTGCTGAGTGTATTTCTGTCCCTTACATCCACAATATTCTTGGCTACTTTAGAAATGGCTAGCTGGAAAGAGAAGGTATGAAGGAGAATAACTTAAAATGCAGAATTGAATAAGCCAAAGTGGAGCTGAGAGCAAGGATTGTCATGTGCATGGGCCAATCACCAATCGGCCTTCCTGGGATTGTGCAGTGCACAACTGGTCTGAATCAATGAGGTATGATAGAAAAATATGGTGAATGAGATCATTTTAACTGAAGATGAGACACATTGCCATGAATCCCCTTTCAAAATCCTCCCGTTTGATTTTTTTATTTTTTTTGTCTTTTTCGTTTTTATCGGTACCAGGGATCGAACTCAAGACTGCCTGCTTGCAAGGCAGGTGCTTATGGCGCTGAGCTAAATCCCCAGCCCCCTCCCGTTTGATTTCAACATACTTATTCCGTCACCCCTGCCCCTTTCCGAAGCAGCTCTGGAAATCCTCTTTCATGAGAGTCTTTAGTTATGTGGTTGTGGCTGCCTCGATGTCCTGAATCATCAGTTCAAAACTTTGGCTTTTCTTGGTCATAAGGACCAAGAGGCAGAAGCCTGGCAGACCAGGTGAATCATATGGATGAGGGTGAGGGCTCCTGGGTGTAGGAGGCTGCCTGTCCATTGGATGGCACTCGGCAGCAGCATTCGCTGTATTTTTTGTTTAATCACATCCTGCAAAGACACTCACAAAAGAGGACGTTCAGAGCTGCTTCAGAAATTGGCAAAAATGATGGGACAAATGTGTTTGAAGTACGGGGAGAATTTTGAGGGGATCTTGTCCTTTACTCTCATATTTTTTTTTAAATCAATATTCACTTTGTCTTTTGATCACACCTTGTAGATGACATCCTTGCAGGAGAACATGCCTTAGGAAACTAGACATCTCTGTTATGTGGAAGACAAAGAGCTGATTAAACTGTTTTCTTTTACCTTGGAACCCTGACTCAGTCTCTTGAGACTGAAGGTTGAGGGACTTGGAGGGAAAATATCAGGGTGTTGGAATATGTGGGAATATCCACACAGCCTTCATCAAAGGTAACAGACACAAACGTCTTGCATTTGCACTTTAAGGAAATGAAGACTTGCTAGCTTTGGTGGTGCACACTTGTGATCCCAGCACTGGGGGAGACTGAGGCAGGAGGATTGCGTGTTCAACCCCAATCTGAACAATTTAGCCGTTTAATGAAATCATCTTTAAAAAAAAAAAAAAAAAAGACTGGGGCGTAGCACAGTATGATGGCCTGGGGTTGAATATACAGTACAAAAAAGTCACAAACAAACTGAAACTTACTCTACTTTATGAATTTGGTAGAACTGGATACCCTGCCCCAAACTTGAAAAAAAAATTAGCAGGAAATAATGAAGGAGGAGACAAAATTGGGGTAACTAGAGAAGTGGAGGAAACGGGATGTCCTAGGCTAGACATAGAATATCCTCAAACGTTGAATATCCCTTGTTCCACAAAAGGCAAAATTTAGCTGCTTGTAGCATCATATGCCTATAATCCCAGCTACTCAGGAGGTTGAAGCAGGAAGATCTCATCTTTAAGGGAAGCCTGGGTAATTTAGCAATATCCAACGTTAAAACGAAAAATAAAAATGGCTGGGGATGTAGCGCAATGGTACAGCCATGGCCCAGTATGAGTGAGGACGGATGTTCCATCCCCAGCACTACAGAAACAAGAAAAAAGTAACAATTAGCTGACCTCCGGATTATAATTTGGGGTGAGATAGATACTCTGGGAAAACACAGCTCTGTTGCTAGGAGATAGGGTCAAGAGCAAGACTGGAAATCCAACTCAAAATTCCAAAGGGGTCAGAGAGCCCTGCAGGGCCAGCCAATCACAGCATTACAATGGCATGGATATCTTGTAACGCATGGGAGGCAATCACAGAAGGGAATTTTGGGGGTGACTGGATGATGGGGATGGTATGCTCATTGGTGGATTAACCCACTAATATGCTGTTAGGAAGTAAGAACTGCTAGGCATGGTGATGCACACCTGTAATCCCAGCACTCAGGAAGCTGAGGCAGGAGGATCACTGTAAGGTCATCATCTTGGGCTACATAGTGAGTTCAAGACCAGCCTGAAGGACATAGCAAGATCCTATCTCAAAAAAACAACAAAAAAAGAGGTGGCCCCAAGATGTGGCTCTCATGTGGGCGTGGCCACGTCTGGGCGTGGCTTGGAAGAGTAGATGACCTTCCTCCCAGCTCTGCTTCCTATCCGCCATGAGGGGAGCCGTTTCTTTCACAAGTCCCCTCTGCCATGTCCTTTCTTCTTTGGAACTGTGGCAGCCTGGACTGAAGCATAGAGCCAAATTCACTTCTTTGATGTACCTCAGGTTAGAGAGGCAGGTCCCAGGTACGGTTCCCAAAGCCCATTTTAACCCTGCAGACCCCACTTCCTTTTCACAGACCCCACACCTTAAACATGGGGAGCCTTCCAAGTTACTGCCTCTTGCCGAGCCCTTTTCCTCGTGGGCCTCAAGGCTCCATCCCGCTTCTCCTCCCAGTTCATTTTGGCCATGCCTGGACTTCTTGCTCCTTGGACCTCTCCTTGACCTCGTGGCTTTTGTCATTTTCCCCCCAGGATAGTAAGTGCTCTATAAAAAGAAAGGAATTAAGAGAAAGTGTCCCTATTTATCTGGCTCATTGGAGACTTCACAGAGTAAGCCCAGAGGAGTTAAGCGACTTGCTCAAGGCTGCTCAGCACCAGGAGGAGCTGGAATATGGCTTAGGGCTGCCCAGCTGTACCACACTGGGGGTCTGCCTGGGTCCTTGATGTCCTGAAAAAAGAGCTGAGCAGGACACCAAAGAAGCAGCAGGATCCAAGATTTATGTCAAAACGAAAGTACTCCAGAGTGTGTGAGCGGCCAATAAGAGCAGGTCAGATGGCAAGGAAGGGTTTGGGTGAGACCAGAGAGTTTGACCTGAGGTTTGGTTCCTACCAGAGTGGCTGGGCTTGGCCACTCCATTGGGTGTTTGACCTTTATGGCCCTGGAAGGAACTCTCAGCCCCCATGTGGGCGGGGTCAAATTTACATAGTCAATGAGATGGTAATCAGGGCCACAGGAGGCCGCCTGGGCTCAGTGTAAACACACTAAGTTACCTGGGTGTCTTTTTTCATTATGGTGAGACCTGGACATCCCGGTGCTAATGATTATTTATCAGTATGTGATTGTATTATATAACAATCACATTTATAGTGGGACAGCTTGTATGTGAACATACCACAGGATCCTTTTTTCTTCCCCTTCCCCTCCCCTCCTCCCTCTCCAACTCTTGTTCCTCTTCCCTTTGCAAAACTTGTACTCCCATTTTTTTTTTTTTTTTTTTTT